CAGCAAACTCCGCTCTGGTGTCTGAGTTTGTGAAAAGCTTTTATAAACTCATCGTGGTGAATAATCTGGATGCTCTGAATGCAGAAGGGAAGTGAGGAAGAACAGAGCTCCACTGCAAACTGTTGTGTTGTTTGTATTTTCATGTTTTTGATTCCATGAGTCAAAATCAGATCTTTAAATTCACCTGAGTCACTACTTGTCTAATCTTAACCTTAACTTTAAACCTTGTTGGATCTAATGTTGAAGAATGTACATCATGGAGACCTCATAAAGTGACAGAACAGGAGCCTGGAGCGAGGTTCTCCTCTCCACACAAGTGTAACTGAACTGTGACTTGGCCTGGTCATCTGCTTGTCTCCACTCAGAAGATGTTTTAATGCCTCACTGTGGTACATTCCAAGCCACAAGAACATCTCCATGGAGAAATGCCATGAAATGTGAAATCTACCACCATGTTCCCTCATCAGAAAGATGCTTGAAGAGGTTTTAAATGTCATCCATGCATGTTTGATTCATCTAGTGATCTCTCCCAGGCCCTATTCAAACCCTCTTTACTGTTAGCTATAAAACTGTGTCCAAGGCTCCACCCACAAGCCTACATCACCCACACGACAATAGCGTCTAATCACACTTACAGGAAGACGTTGGGAAACATGTGATACAAACTTCCGGTGTAGTTCCTGACACTGTGATCAAACCCACTGAAGTAAATGTGATCAGTGGTAAAATGAAGACTGCAGATGTATGTGCTGTTGGAATCATCTGGAATTTGGCGCCTCATCTCTTCTAATCACATGTACCAGTGCACTCAGAGTTGTGTGTCAGTGGGGAAATGATGAAAACTGAGGGACGGTTGGAATGACTGGAAGCTACAATGACATGGAAATGAAGAAAACTGACTTTTTCTCATTTTTCTTGGAACAGAGCCCACCAGAAGTTGTAATTGCATCTTTCCAGACATCTTCCTGTTTGTTATATAAGCTTGAATAGAGTTAGTTCTCCATAAATATACAAAAATATGATACAAAACTGTGCACAACAACATGACAAACCTGATGTGATGTGCAGGAGTTAGAGCAGAGTCCTGCACAGGGTCATTTTTGGAGACCTGCACCCGAGCAGTCCAGCACCACACCTGCCCGTTAACCTGTGATTATATCAAAGTTAAATCTGCACCAGCCCAAACCTGTTAACATTTCACCTGTTACCCACCCGTGCCCATGAAAAATCAGGGTCAGCCCATTAGTCTGACAGCCCAATAGTCCAGGACTAAACCAGGATTAACCAGGACTAAACCAGGACTAAACCAGAACTAAACCAGCACTTAACCTATGCCGTGTCATCATTGGATTATACATATTTACATACCGAAGCCGCAGAGTTGATCGTCAGGACAACACCAAGACTGAACCATGACTGAACCAGGACTGGACCAGGACTACACCAGGACTACACCAGGACTGGACCAGGACTACACCAGGACTACACCAGGACTACACCAGGACTGGACCAGGACTACACCAGGACTGAACCAGGACTACACCAGGACTGGACCAGGACTACACCAGGACTACACCAGGACTGAACCAGGACTACACCAGGACTGGACCAGGACTACACCAGGACTGGACCAGGACTACACCAGGACTGGACCAGGACTAGCCGAGGTGAGCCCATCACCTTTACTAATGTTTTATGTAATAAAAACACTAAAGTCTCTCTTAGTCTGGTCCATCATCCCAGGAAAAGACGAGAAATGGCTCTTGCTTCCAGGGCAACGTACTCCCTGAACACAAGCATATTTCTACCATGTGATTCACTGACCTGCCCGTGTGTGTTCACTGTCTACATACCCGCCCATAACATTTCAGAATGTTTAAACCCACCCGTTTCAGCAACTATTAGTGAGTACCCGCGGGCGAGTACCCGACCTGGTGCAGGAGTCTGAGTTAGTGGGCTGCACTCTGATTGTGTTCTGATAGTGCTCTGAAAGGGGAGTGACTCAATGCAGAGAGCAAACGCAGAGGGGACCCAGAGCATCAAAAACAAAAGTGAAACTTGTTAAACATGATAATACGTTGTGTTTGTCATTTGAAAACAATCAGAGGTGACGTGGTGATGTAAATGTGTCCCAGAAGTGGAAGAGCAGCTCTTTAAACAACATATTTACATGTTTATAGAAAGAGCAGCACCACACGACTTTACTGTATCTCCAGTGTTGGGAAAGTTACTTTTAAAATGTATTCCCCTACAGACTACAGATTACATATCCCAAAATGTAGTTTGTAACATGATCCATTAAATTACTTAAAGTGAGTAATGTAATCTGAATACTTTGGATTACTTGTATTGTCTTGTTTTTTAAAACTACATGAATGTAACAACCACATCCCGAACATTTTAGTTTGTTTTCTTCAAATTGGCAGAGCCACAAGTCTCCATGAACAGACTTTTGTTTTACTGTAAAGTAGCAAAGACTAGAATCTTAATATAAGATGTTTTATCTGCTAAAAGAAAATAAAAAGCCCAGACTTTACTTAAACATAGTAAAAATATTATTGATAGAGAAATTATTTTTATATGAGATCACTGCTGCCGTAAAGTCTGTCCACCTACTGTTAGTGTCATACTGTTTAGACCTGGTTTAGTCCTGGTTTAGACCTGGTTTAATCCTGGTTTAGTCCTGGTTTAGTCCTGGTTTAGTCCTGGTTTAGACCTGGTTTAGTCCTGGTTTAGTCCTGGTTTAGTCCTTGTTTAGACTTGGTTTAGTCCTGGTTTAGACCTGGTTTAGTCCTGGTTTAGTCCATGTTTAGACCTGGATTAGACCTGGTTTAGTCCTGGTTTAGTCCTTGTTTAGACCTGGTTTAGTCCTGGTTTAGTCCTGGTTTAGACCTGGTTTAGTCCTGGTTTAGTCCATGTTTAGACCTGGATTAGACCTGGATTAGACCTGGTTTAGTCCATGTTTAGACCTGGATTAGACCTGGTTTAGTCCTGGTTTAGTCCTTGTTTAGACCTGGTTTAGCTCAAAATGTGAAAACAGGAAAATACCGCCATGTAATCCATTTATTTCAACAAAGTATCTGTAATCCAATTACCATTTACTGAAACAGTAACTGTAACTGAATACAGTTACTCATAGTTTGTACTCTGATTACATAACGCCAGTAGATGTAATCCGTTACTCCCCAAAACTCTGTATCTGTTTCTAATGTGACAGTAGACTTTTACACCGTGGCCTTTCATCAAAAACAGCAGCGCCGCAATTACCAGATTACACCCCCCCCCACACCCCCCGACTCACCACGGACCACTGCAGCTCCGGCCAGAATTAACAGTGTGTGTGTGTGTGTGTGTGTGTGTTTGTGTGTGTGTGTGTGTGTGTGTGTCGGGAGGGGGGGGTTTATAAATGACAGGGATCCGAGGCTCATTCACTCCACACAAGAGGCCCATCTGACCGATTCAATTACGGGATGGAACCTGGAGTGAAAGGTGAAGCGGAGATTGAGGGAGCCTTCTGCTGATATTAGGCCAATTACAAAAACCCTATTAGATACTTTGTCTTTTTAATTAGAGCCATTACTCAGTGGTACTTTGAGTGTGTACAGTACTGCGGTGTAGTGGTAGAAATGTTAGATGTGACTGTAAACACGTTTTTGTTAGTGTGTGTTGGAACATTCATATTGGATCCATACATCACAGCTCCTGCACTTAAAAACAAAATACTGACAAAACTAAACCACAGAAACAAGTGTGTGTGATGCAGTTTGGATCATGAAGATTCTCATAAGATGTGGATCAAAAGTGAGAGGATCAAAATTCTAAACTGGGACACACTCGGGTCGGGGCGGTTGGTATGAATAAATGCAGTTTTTTTGTTTTATGGTTGTTCACATGTAGTCCTGGTTTAGTCATTAGTTTAGTCCTGGTTTAGTTTTAGTTTAGTCCTGGTTTCGACCTGATGTAGTCCTGGTTTAGACCTGGTTTAGAATTAGTTTAGTCCTTGTTTAGACCTAATGTAGTCCTGGTTTAGTCTTTAGTTTAGTCCTGGTTTAGTCTTTAGTTTAGTCCTGGTTTAGTCTTTAGTTTAGTCCTGGTTTAGTCTTAGTTTAGTCTTGGTTTAGTCTTAGTTTAGTCCTGGTTTAGTCTTAGTTTAATCTTGGTTTAGTCTTAGTTTAGTCCTGGTTTAGTCTTAGTTTAGTCTTGGTTTAGTCTTAGTTTAGTCCTGGTTTAGTCTTAGTTTAGTCCTAGTTTTGACCTGATGTAGTCCTGGTTTATTCTTAGTTTAGTCCTGGTTTAGTCTTGGTTTAGTCTTAGTTTAGTCCTGGTTTAGTCTTAGTTTAGTCTTGGTTTAGTCTTAGTTTAGTCCTGGTTTAGTCTTAGTTTAGTCTTGTTTAGTCTTAGTTTAGTCCTGGTTTAGTCTTAGTTTAGTCTTGGTTTAGTCTTTAGTTTAGTCCTAGTTTTGACCTGATGTAGTCCTGGTTTATTCTTAGTTTAGTCCTGGTTTAGTTTTAGTTTAGTTTTGGTTCAGACCTGATGTAGTCCTGGTTTAGTTTTAGTTTAGTCCTGGTTTAGGCCTGATGTAGTCCTGGTTTATTCTTAGTTTAGTCCTGGTTTAGTTTTAGTTTAGTCCTGGTTTAGGCCTGATGTAGTCCTGGTTTAGTCCAGGTTTAGTCCTGGTTTAGATCAGATTGGTTCAAAATAGGGACATTTGGGACATTTCTTGTATCAAACTGGGACAAATCAGTGGTTTTGTATAAATCTGCTGGGACAGGGGACACAGGCTCAAAACTGGGACTGTCCTGGGTAAACAGGGACGTCTGGACACAGCAGATCTGGACTTCATGTGTCCATCGTGAACATCAGAGCTGTTGTCACACACCAGGCTGAGGTTTGTGTCCACACTTCCACACACGCAGCAAATCTGGGAATAAACCTGGACTGTATCTGGATTAGACCTGGACTAAACTAGAACAGGAGCAAAAACACAGATCTGACACGGCTCAGTCTCACATCACTTTTATTCACAGAGTGCCACATACAAAAGTCCACAGGAGACCGGACCAGAGACCGGACCAGAGACCGGACCAGAGTCCGGACCAGAGTCCACACAGTTTCATCATCTGAGAACGTGCAGAGCATCACACACAACATGAGGGCTCCAGTCCAGTTTTCCACGTTTGAAACAGTTTCTTGGACATTTTCAGGTGATGTTATTGGTCAGAAAAAAATACACAACATCTTTCTCCTTTGTGCGTGTCATGGAAACATCACTGGACAATCACAGGTTTCTCTGTTAAAATCAGTTCTTTTCACACACAGTTGAGTTCCTCGGGTCACAGAAGCAGCTGCTCTGTCTGTGTTTAACACTGGCTCGGTGTAAAAATACAAGTTCATACTTTAGGGTTAATTTTAGAGATGCTTTTGGTTTCATTATTGACATTTATTTATTTATTCATGAACTCATTAAACGCTCATCTGTTTTCATGTGTCCATCACACTTGACACTTCAGACGTTTTGTAAAACACCTGCAGAGTTTTCACTGCGTTCACACCTGTGCACACACGTCCAAACTGGGACTAAACCCGGACTACACCCGGACTACACCCGGACTAGACCAGTACCAAAGCAGTAACATGACCAGACTAGAACCAGACCAGTACCAGACCAGGACTAGACCAGTACCAGACTAGAACTAGTCCAGGGCTGGACCAAGCAGGGCTAGACCAGGACTAGACCAGGACTTGACCAGGCCTAGACAAGGACTAGACAAGGCAGGAGTAGATCAGGACTGAACCAGTACCAGACCAGGACTAGACCAGGACCAGACTAGTACCAGACCAGGACCAGACTAGTACCAGACCAAGACTAGACCAGGACTAGACCAGGACTAGACCAGGACTAGACCAGGACTAGACCAGGACTAGACCAGGCAGGGCTAAACTGGGACTAGACCAGGACTAGACCAGGAATGACCCAGTGTTAGACCTGGACTAGACCTGAACTAGACCCAGACTAGACCCAGACTAGACCAGGCAGGACTAGACCAGGAGTAGACCTGAACTGAACCAGTGGTAGACCAGGACTAGACCAGGACTAGACCAGGGTTAAACCAAAGCTAAACCTGGTAGGACCAGATCTGTACTATCAGACTAAACCAGTATGAAACCAGGACAAGTGTGAATGCAGTTTCTTTTTTTTTTGTTTGTTTGTTTTTTTAATACCAAGCTCTCTGCTCTCAGATCATTTGTTCATGAATTTGAACAGAACACCTTTTGCCCGTGAACACTGACCTGAACTCTGCAGCTTAATCGTGACTTTTTCACAACGGTCGTACGGTTATGCATTTTATTAGCTTATAAATTAGCATCTTTATTAGCATTGTATCCATCTTTACAAAACAGACCATGACACACGTGTTTACAGTTCGGTGCAGTCCTACACTCGCTCACTCTCAACACACAACGGGGCTGACCAACACTTTTTTTATTCATACCTAAATTTTCAAAAATAAATGAAACGTTGACCAAGTTTTGTCGTGTTTATGTTAATAGAAAGTGAATGTGTTTAAAGATGCACTGTGGAGGGTTTCTGACGGAAGGTCTCTTGAATTTAATGTATTTATTTTCAGATCTATGTTTTAATGTTGTTTCCTCTTCAAAAACAGAGCTGGAGTTGTGTTTTGTTTCATTCACACATGTTTGAGTCTCTTTTTTATTAGTCTGTTTACATCTCCAAAGCTCAAAATGCTCTGTGCACCTTGTGATGTCATGAAGTGGTAGTTTTCAAGTGAACGGCTCCTTTTACCTTTAGTTCTCTAGATTAATTTGGACAATTTCAGCTTTGGAATTGCCAACCTACTGAAGTATTATGAGTATTAAGACGCTGGAGCACTTCCTGTATCACCACACGACATCACAAGGTGGAACTCGGCCTAAATGTGCAGGGTTTGTGTGTTAAATGTGTGTGGATGTAACAAAACACAGCTTCAGGTCTGTTTGTGATGACGAAAAAACATTAGAACATAGGTTGAAAACAAAAAAATAGCGCAACATGGGCCTTGAACATGACCACTTTCTATTAACACAACAATTCGTGGATAAACAAACACAATTTATTCATAAACGCAACATTTCATTTCATACTTTCGGGGAGTTTTCCAAAATCCCCACCGGACATACGACACGATACACGGCCGTACCAGATCCACAAGATGACGAGAAGAAAAGGACTTGTGCTCAAAGTTCCATCGCGCGTCTCATCGCTCGCGCGGGATGAGGTCTGTCCACGAACTGGTCCAAAACCGCCCAAGTGCTCCTCACGCTTCTCCCACACGATAACACTGATTCAAATCCAACAATGACAAGTCTCGGAAAAGTCACTCCACGGGTCCAGAACGTCCAACGGGAGCGTCGCGAAGTTTAATGCCGAAATGAGGTGTGCAGCAGCTGTGACGTAACAACAGCCCAGATGAGGAGGTTTAAACGGAAGAAGTTCAGCGTAACAACAGACACATATTTAGGAATATTCACATTGTGGAGCCAGTACATTTTTAATTTTTAACTTGGCTACTGAAATGTAACTAGAAACATCGATCTCCTCCATCGCCCTTAAAAAAATGTGAATATAAATAGATGTATTCATAGGTTCCAATCTTCCTGTTACATGATGTTGCTTTGAAGACGGCTGAGCATTCTTTTTTTTTTTTTAACTTTAATCGCTATGACAACAGCCCTAACTTTTCATCACTCTGAAACCCACAGTTAGGACGACGGGAGGGCATCTGACACACAGACAGACAGGATGAGGATGGAAGGGCATCTGATGCAATAGGATATAGCATGGGATAGAAATGTTGGTGACCCTGTCTGGTCTAGTCCTGGTCTAGTCCTCATATCGTCCTTTTCTACCCCTACCCTAGTCTAGCCCTGGTCTAGTCCTGGTCCAGCCCTGGTCTAACCCTGGTCTAGTTCTGATAGGACGATGGAAGGGCATCTGACACAATAGGATAGAGTTAGATGGGACAGAAATGGGCAAAAGTCTTGAAGAAATCACCCACCTCAATCAAACAATAAAACCCATGGATAGGAGGACGGTAGGGCATCTGACACAGGGATAAAGAAGACTGGGAGGGCATCTGACATACAGGGATATCCATGAGTTTCAGAGAGATGAAAACCAACCACAGCTGCAGTTAACAATTAAAAATATTGTATCTTTTGAATGAGCAAAATCAATCATTCAAACCCATGGACAGGAGGACGGGAGGGCATCTGACACAGGGATAAAGCAGACTGGGAGGGCATCTGACACAAAAGAACGAGCTTGTTGTTACGTTCTGGGCTTCTTCCATTTAAACCCTGAGAGATGATCAGAGTTTCTTCGGGGCTGTGGAGACGTGAGCTGCTGCAGGTGCTGTGTCTCTACTGGCCGTTTCTCCAGTGCTCCGTCAACACTTATGGCATCAAAAATCCTTGATAAGTGCAACAGGTAAATGCGAGGTGCGCGTCCGGGCTTGGTCCATAGACGGGTGCCACAGGTGCGGCGGGTGCGGCGGGCGCCGAGCCTCTACCTGCCGAACACGCTGTCGTACTCTATGAGGATGAGCTCCACGATCTGGTTCTGGTAGACCATGTGCACGGCGATGTTCCCGCTCTCCGTCTCCGGGCGCAGGAGGGTGGGGCCGAACACGATGGCCACGCTCTGGGTGGTCATGCGGTTAGCCTCCCCGTGCTCCACCACCCTGAGGACACACGGACACACACAGGACAAGAAGACAAGAGGACAAGTTACAGAACAACTTATATCTGGTTAAAATGACACACATGTGATATGAACCTATGAATAGTTTTGACTAGTTGGATGAATTTACAGCAGCATCGATGGTACATACAGTTTGTACATGGATTCACCTCGTCCACACATACACCACCACCCACACGTACACCACCCGCCTCACCCACACATACACCACCTGCCTCACCCACACGTACACCACCCGCCTCGTCCGCACGTACACCACCCGCTCGTCCGCACGTACACCACCCGCCTCACCACACATACACCACCCGCCTCGTCCGCACGTACACCACCCGCCTCGTCCGCACGTACACCACCCGCCTCGTCCACATATACATCACCCACCTCACCCACAAAGCCATCACATTTGTGAGTGATGCAAGTCACCCTGTACACAATCTGTTCAGCCTCCCGCCCTCTGGGAGGAGCTACAGGAGCCTCCATTGCCGCACCATCAGACTCACTAACAGCTACATCCTCTAGGCTGTTAGGATGCTGAACTCTCTTCCCTCTCTAACCACCAGGCTGCCAGAAAGTCTGAATCTGTGTCTCCCCAAGAACAGAACTCCCCAAAGACCACTTGGACTCAGACCTCCCCTGACTCCCCCAAAAGACTGTCTTGTTTTACTGTTTGCACTAAACCATCTGCTGTTTTGATTCCTGCTGTTAATACTTGATCTGACTTAACTGCACTGTTCTGTACAAGTGTTTTTAACTTCATTATTTCTCTGTGGTTACTGTAGTGGTTAAAGATGATGTTACTTGTTGTATCTGTGCACATGGGGCAGAGAGAAATTTGATTCCTTTATATGTCTAGTACATGTGAAGAAATTTACAATAAAGCTGACTTTGAACTTTGATTCACTATTATTCAGCATATTACTGTAGCCATGGCTGCCCTGGGACAGACTGAGGGAAGCTGGGCCAATGTCTATTTCAACTTTCTAATTTACTGTTGGTCCTGGAAGGCAACTTCAGTGGTGATTTTGGGATGTACAAAAATAAACTGAACTGAAGAGGTTTGAGGTGGGTGAAGAGTCTTGCCAAAGTACACAACAACAGTTTGCATTAGAGCCACACTGCTCCACTGTGGCACCTGCTGAGCGTCTGACAGATCAGACATGAGCTCAGGGAAGAATCAGCAGGTTACTCCTTTGTATTCCCCCTAAACAGAGTCAAAATCATGTGGAGTTTGAAGGGACCTGCACCAACAAAAAATACTCTGTCACACTCTGTCACACTGAAGCAGTTCAAATGAGGCTCACAACAACAGCTACTCCTTTTACAGACAAAGACTAATGTGCAGGACTTGTGAACACGTGAATGAAACAAAACACAGCTCCAGGTTTGGATGGAGAATTAGAATAACGAGGCTTATATAAGAGTGTCGTTTCCAGTGCACGTGTTGAGACGAGGACGAGCGAGCGGAGGTTTGATAAATGCATCTGCACGAGTCACAACTCATCACATCCACACGAGCTCAGTGAATCACTCAAACTGTCACAGAGGTTTCCTGTGCCTCCACTCGCTCCCGGGCAGCCCACAATAAACCTGTGTCAAAAAACAAGGGACGACCTGGAATCTGCAAGAGAAGGAGAGAAAGAGAAAGAGAGAAAGAGAGGAAGAAGAGAGAGGGACCTGACATCTGCAAAAGAGAGGGAGAGAAACAGAAAGAGAAAGACAGGAAGAGAGGAGAGAGACAAGAGAGGGAGGAGAGACGACCTGGAATCTGAAAGCGAGAGGGAGAGAAAGAGGAGAGAGGGACAAGAGAGGGAGGAGAGAGACAAAAGAGAGAGAAGAGAGGGACCTGGAACCTGCAAGAGAAAGAAAGAGAGAAAGAGAAAGAGAGGAAGAGGGAGGAGAGAGACAAAAGAGGGAGGAGAGAGGGACCTGGAACCTGCAAGAGAAAGGAAAAGAGAAATAGAGCAAAGAGAGGGAGAATAGAGAAGGAGGAGAGAGGGACCTGGCTTCTACAAAAGAAAAGGTGACAAAAAAAGGGGAGGGACAGGAAACAGAAAGCAGAAGAGATGCAGAGAGAGAGAAAGAAAGAGGGAAGAGGAAAAGAGCAGAGAGAAGATAATGAGAAAGAGAGGATGCTAGAAAGAAAGACAGGGAGAACACAAGATGTAGAGAACAAGAGGGAAGAAAGAAAGAAATGGATAGATAAAGAGATGAGAAAGGAGAGAGACAAGAGAGGGAGGAGAGAGGGACCTGGAATCTGCAAGAGAGAGGGAAAGAAACAGAAAGAGAAAGAGGAAAAGAAAGGAGAGAGAGAAGAGAGGGACCTGGAATCTGCAAGAGAGAGGGAAAGAGAAAGAGAGAGACAAGTGAGAGAGGAGAGACAACCTCGAATCTGTAAGAGAGAGAGAGAGAGAAAGAGGGACAGAAAGAGGAGAGAGGGACCTGACATCTGCAAGAGAGAGGAAGAGAGAAAGAGAGGAAAAGAGAGGAGAGAGAAAAGAGAGAGTAAAGAGAACGGGAGAGATAAAGGGATGTAGAGCATGAGAAGCGAGAGCAAGAGCAGAGAAAGATAAAAGAAGGAGCGAGAGAGAGGAAGGGAAGGAGAGATGAAAAACGGCGCCCTCCGTCTGTGCGCCTCCATAAATCGTGTTCAGAAACAACAGTGGGGCTGCATTAGCGTAAACACACTTATATAAATGCAAATGCGGAGGGAAATGCCACACACTCGTCCCGTCGTGTCTGAACGGGACTCACAGGAAGCCCCTCCAACGTGACCTTTCAAAATAAGGGTTTCCGTCACCAGTCTGCAGCGCTGGGGGCAGTCTACGACCTGGACAGCACTGGGTTTAAAAAGGAATAGAAATGCAAACATGGAAGTTGCGTTGCTGCGGGGTTTGGACGCCGGTTCATTTACAGAGAACATTTATTTGAAATAGAAATGCGTTTCTGTACATCAGTTTCTGTCGATCAACATTTCTGTTTCTTCCATCAGTTCAGTTTTTAAATTAAAGGTCCATATTACGTCGCTTTCTGATCTATGCTCTAATGTTTCCTCATCACAAACAGACCTGGAGGTGTGTTTTGTTTTATTTCATTTACACGTTTAACAAACAAACCTGCAGATTTATAATGAGTTCTTCTCTCAAACAGAAAACTCCACTGAAGTCTCTACTCAATTACAGTTAAAAGTTGTTATCTTATAAACAACCACTTCATGACATCACAAGGTGGAACAGCATTTTGAGCTTTGACGATGTAGACAGACTAATAATAAATAACATTTTCAAGAGGCAAAATGTTTTATTGTTATTAAAGGACCAGTACCTGAACCTTTCCATGTATCTGAGCAAACTGTGTCCTTCCCCAGTTCAGATATTGTATAAGCAGCTCTTGACATCAGAATAAGTGTGCTGTGTACTAGGGCTGGGCAATATGGAGCAAAAATATATATCTTGATATATTTTGCTATATCTTGATATACGATAGTATAGTTCCTTTAGCAGAGGAAATTTGGGAGGTTCCTTATTTGAATAGATCCATGTTCCTCACCAGCAGTAGGGAGCTAAACTTTACATTACTAAACTTTATAACATATAAAGCATTACTATAGAGCCACATCAGCTCGTTTGAGATTATAATGTGTTACTGCAACTTTGCAAACATCTGTTTACGTTTAACAAAAACAAAACTTAAAATGGCATGGCTCATTTGAATAAACTGTAGCGCTGACGCGGTTTAGCTTCTGTTGGACTAAAGAACACGACTCAGTAGAATACAGGAGTTCTCTCCATGGATCTATGATTCTCTCTGTGACAGAGGATGTGCTGCTGTTGGCCTTGTCTGTAAACGGTGGAAAAGGTACATGGTGTAGTAACTTTGGGCATTCATGGCAGTAGACACATGTCTGCTGTTCGTCCAACACCTTAAAATCAAAGTATCTCTGTATAATGGAGCCAGTTGTCCTTTTTTGAGACGAGTTCTGTATCCTCTGGGCTGGTTTTGGGGAGCATGACAGAGGAGGGGGAACAAAAGCGAGGAGGCGGAGGCGCGTGGGGACGAGCACAGAGACGGCAAACAAGTGAAGCGGCAAAATCAAAATATATAAGCATTATATCGATATATACGATATGTCAAAGTCCATATCGAGTTTTAAAAATACCCCACCCCTACTGTGTACCGCTGTGTACCACTGTGTACCGCTGCGCACTGCTGTGCACTGCTGTGCACTGTTGTGTACGGCTGTGTACTACTGTGTACTGATTAATTAGGATGCTCAGAATTAGGTGTGTAACAGTTCATGTATTCGTGCCATCCATTTCAGTACAGGATGTTGGGTTCGGTGCAGGGCTGTGGGTTCGGTGCAGGGCTGTGGGTTCGGTGCAGGGCTGTGGGTTCGGTGCAGGCAGTTGGGTTTGTTTGGGCCACTACATGTGCAGCTACACGGAAGGTTCGGCTCTTTAACATTCATGAGGGAACTCGTCCGTGATTGGGACACTGTTTCCCGCAGCGCTTTATATTTAGGTCGCCTTCACACACTTTCCCCCCCGCCTCGACTATGTCCCTCTGAACTACGACAATCTTTGCAAAACTATAATGCACTGTAATCCTCAGTTTCACCTTTCACCGGCATGGAATCTAAAAATGAACCAAAATGAATCGAAAATTTAAAGAAATGTGACCTCAAAATCAAGGTACGTACCGAACTGTGACTTTTGTGCACTGATACACCCCTACTCAGAATACATAAGGTAAGTGAAGGATAAATTTGGACCACTGCAAACCCTTTAAAATAAACTAGTTCTGTTTTTCATGTATAAAACCTTTACTTTTGCTCACTAGGTTTGACAAAAATATAGAAAATCAGATACTAATTGATACTAAAACTATTATTGAAACTGGATACTCATTTGAACAAGGATTGATACATAAAAATCACATTCACAGGACAGAAATGAAAGTTTCCTGAATGTCTTTAGAATGATGTTGATCTGTATCAGAACAAGTAGAAGACACATAAACTAGTAAAAACACATGGACCACTATGAATCTACTGCACCACTGAGGGTCCAACAGTAATCTAAAACAAAGTACTACGCTGTTCAAAATTACATTCTATTGTCTAAATAAAGAGTGTTTTTATTAACATCATGGTACAGGAAGAGATTGAGATTTGTGTCTATTCCTTAGTAATGATATCGAGTTTGAAAAGATCTGTCTGTAGAAAATACAGTAAGTGAAATTTGAACCGGCTAACCCCGAGCTGGGGGGCGAGGGCTTTACCGTCTCCTCCACAGGGGAACCATTAATAACCAGCTAAAGTGTAAAAACGTATGGTAGCTGGCTGCTAAGATACACTCTCTATATTATGATTTAATGTGCTCATTTGCATAATTTATTCATTCCCCATATTCAAGTCACAGTCAAGGTGCTCAATCACCGAGGCGAGGAGAATAAAACGTAAAGCCATTTGGAATGCCAGTGTAAGGGATAGAACCATCAACCTCTCCATGACTACTAACAGCGAGTAGATACCATGTTTTATATAGACACTGTACCGGAGTTTGACTGTCTTAAAATGTTTAAAACAATGGTTTGTAGCGGTCCAAAATTCCTCCTCTCTTACCTTGTGAATTCTGAGCATCCTAATGATTCAGCATGATGTGTTTATAAGCATGCTAACACACACTTCCTGATTACTGAACGATAAAATGCTTTCTAATTAGATGCAGACAGATTTATTTTGATGTCAAGAGCTGCTTCTACAACATATCTGTACTGGAATTCATGAGAAACATTCAGAGGGTGTTTAACTCCAGGCCGGTGTTACCTGCGCAGGTGTTTGAAGAGCGCTTGCATTGTGTCGTGGTTGGGTTTAGGCAGCTTCTTGATCAAGTCTCTGATGGAGTTGAGTCTCTGCTTGTAGTCCTGACACTCTGTGGAGAGGAGAAGAGAAGTGTGAGTGTGGCTCCATCTTGTGGTCACATGAGAAACTACACTCGACAGGTGTAACATCAGGGACATCCTCGTATTCTCTTCTAGAACTTTTAAAGAGGGGCATTCTGTGTTTTATGTTGTTTTATGGAATGTCACATGCTTTTTACTTACAGGTTTGGTTCATATTCTAAAGTTGAATTCTGAAATGTGGATTGATATGACCATGTTTCAAACAAAAATTCATCTTATTGCTAAAATAACACTGTGTAGGTGAATAATATATGTTCCACATATAGTAATGGTGTAACTAGTCAAAACTCAGATAGATATTACAGTGCTTTTAAAGTTTGCTCTGTTATATTGCTCTGGATTTCATCTGAGTGTTGTCATGATACAAAAATATATACAAATGTACACATTATTTTAGACAATATGAGGTAGCATATTTAGGTAGCATAGGTAGTAGCATTTTTAAAGTCACCATACTGTGGTGTCTATGGATCAAGACCGTTCTAAAATTACTCAGGAAAACAAAGTCAAACTTTGCCCTATTTACAAGTTTGTTTGTTTTTTCAGTATCAGTACTGTATTATTGAGTATTAAGTGTTACAGTGACAGGTCCTGGTCTTACTGATGGCGTTGACAAAGTCGTTGAAGGAGGTGTAGGTGAAGAGGGGCTCAGGCAGCTCTCTGAAGAACATCTTGAGGGCTCCAGTGGTCACGTGGATGTCCTCCCATTTACTGTCGTCCAGCTCCAGCTTCTCATCTGCGCACACACACACACACACACACAAACACACACAAACACACACGCACAAGAGCAAAGGTCACAGCAGGGAACAGCAAACAGGAAGTAAACAGGATGACCCACCCCTTACCGTGATTGACAGCAAAGCGCAGCTTCTGGATGACAGCCAGGTTCCCACTGACTCTGTAGAGACCGTCCACATCCAGCCCTGAGGAACAGAGCCACAGGTCAGTGTAAAGACTTCACCTGGAGTTATGTTTAAATATGTTATGCCTTTAAAATCCCAACACAATTTAGACAATTGTTTCAATAAAAGGAGGATGTGAGGAGGCTGTTTTTGAGAAAATAGGAACAATGTCATAATGTAATGTTATCCTGCTGGACTGAGGCCTTCTTCTGTCTGCTGCCTCTGCCTCTTCTACTTTGAGTTTACACATGAACATAGTTCAGTGGATGAGATTTCAACATACAGGAATATTCATACAAAGGGATTGGACAAAAATGTATGTTTCTGAAGAGGAAACGTGATCACATTTGAAAGCCCCTGCCCCCTGTCCATACCAGACCATGTGTGTGGTCATAAAGCAGAGTTGGTGTTACCTGTGTCCTCCACATGGTCGATGCACATTCTCACAAACTTGGGCACAGTGGAGTTTTCCCTCTGACACAGAGCGCTCAGACTACAGCCAAACACAGTGTCTGGAAGAAGAGCAGGAGAGAAACTTTACAACTGTATACTCAATAAAACATATAGTAAAATAAAGATTTAACAATACAAAGCTCAGTTACACCTGAAATACATAATACTAGTACTTCTAACTACTGGGTGTATTCCTATATTAGTGACTACAGAATAGATACACAGGGGTAAAATGAATATTGTTAAAATACAGATTGTGTTGTAACATGGCAAGTTTTAGGCTCTAGTCTCTAATAGATATTATCAGATTTGATCATGATCACATTTGTGAATTTACCTTTGGACATTTCACCATGATTAATAGGAAAATCTGTCTCTGCGTCCATCATCACATTCTAGAATCTGAAAAACTCCAAAACTACTACTACTACTACTACTACTACTACTACTACTATGTCAGAAACATGCATCAGATGTCCTAAACTACATATAAACTGCTCTAAACAGTGAGCCTGTGGTGTTAGTGGTGCAAGAGCCTGTTACCTCAGTACTGCACATACCTTTAATATAACCCTTGTCGCGGACGGCCTGGTAGGTGGGCCTTCGTATGAGGAACTTCTTGAGCTTCATCCTGGTCTTCTTCTGGTCTGAGACGTCCATGCTCACCGAGGTCTTCATCACTGTAGACACACACTCCTTCAGGTTTCATGGCTAAACGGCGTCTCTGATTAAAAGTGATGATGTGGTAACTTTGTGATGTGGTTTTGGAGATTTTGTGACCTCAAAACCAAACTAATCTTGTAATCTTGTAAACAGTAACTGAACAAGTGTCAATGACGTTAACAGCACAAGATTATGGAAGGCACTCTGTATGTTCATTTAAACTATTTGTCAAGATTGTGTTTTTTTTTTTTTTCAAATAATGAATTCTGAAAAGCACCTCTGTTCTTCTTGGAGTCACGGTGCTCCTTCTCTTTGTCCTGCTTCTCTGCTCCTGGAGACTCAGGCATGTCCTCCTCGATGGCCTCGTCAGACTCCCACGCCTGTCACACACACACACACACGTATGATTTAACAAACACACACACACACACGGCTTCACACATGTTCCAGTAGAGGAGCGGGTCTCACGTGTGTGCTGACGGTGTCACTCAGGGCTCTGTACCAGTCGTTTATCACACTGTCGATCTCAGACTGGATCAGCAGCTCTGTGCCCACACGAGTCTTCAGCTGCACACACAAGACACCACACATTTGAAGAAAAGAAAGAGAAATGTCTTAATTTATGCTGCTTTAGGAATAGTTTTAGGCACATTTCTTAGTTATAGGATATATAAAAATGAATTATATCGCAATTGATGTTTTGATGTACGTAAAATGTTAAGTACAGTTTCCCATTAACAGAACAGACTATGGTAGCCCCCCACAGGCGAAAAACTACACGACTAAAACATTGGCACAACAAAATCTCACTTTGTTGCTCCTTGTGTTGTCATAAAAGCATAACAACTAACCACACTCTTCAAAAAGACTGCTAAAATGTAAAATACAAGAAATGACATTCAAACTCAATATTTGTATCATTCGTTCATTCATTTTTCAACATAAAACCAAAATTAAGAAAATGAAAAAACAACTGTTTTATTCATTATTTGTCAGATAACGATTTGTTTTTTCAGTTTTCGATTTTATGTTTAAATGGAATATAAAAGAATGAGAACTTCGCACATCAGTTACTTGAGATGGGTGCGTTGGAGGAGAGGGAGCAGCCCAATTGTCCTAATAAATCTCACAACTTGCAAGTAAGACGGTGTGCGGGATTTTTCTCCACGTTTAAATGAAGAAAAAAAAGAAAAGAAAAGAAAGGATAACGGCTGTTTCCCGTTTATGTGACTTAAACTGCGATGCCGGACTGAGCCAGGACTGAGCCAGGACTGAGCCAGGACTGAGCCAGGACTGAGCCAGGACTGAGCCAGGACTGAGCCAGGACTGAGCCAGGACTGAGCCAGGACTGAGCCAGGACTGAGCCAGGACTGAACCAGGACTGAACCAGGACTGAACCAGGACTGAGCCAGGACTGAACCAGGACTGAACCAGGACTGAGCCAGGACTGAGCCAGGACTGAAGCCAGGACTGAACCATGGCTAAACCGGTCTCAGTCCTCATCTCAGTCCCAGTCTCAGTCCCAAACCAGGACTAAACCAGGACTGAACTAGGACTAAACCAGTAATAAACCAGGAGTATTGGGACCGGCCTGGACATGCGTCTGTGTAGACTGTCAGGTGATCAGAAAACCGGGACCAGACTGGGACCAGACTAGGACTGAGACCAAGACTGAGACCTGGTTTAGTCCTTGGTTCAATTCTGGTTTAGAGCTAGTTTAGTGTTTTTTTAGTCCTGTTTTAGTCCTATTTTAGTCCTGGTTCAGTCCTGGTTCAGTCCGGCATCGTAGTTTAAGTCACGAAAACCGGAAATGGCCATTTTCCATTTTTTCCATTATTCATTTAAAAACAAAATCAAAAAAATGAAAACAAAAAAAAATCATTATCTGTTTTTTCATTTTGGTTTTGGAGACAAATAATGAAGAAAATAGTTGTTTTTTCATTTTCTTATTTTTGGTTTTATTTTGAAAAACGAATGAACGAATGACACACGGATTATACTCCACAAATTACATGAACAAAAATGACGTATATAGATATTTGTGCTACCATAGTCTGAGTAAAATCTATGGGAAACACTGCACATTTATATACTACAATGAATACAGGCTGCGAAAGGAGCAGATTCTAAATAAAAAAGAACAAGGTACACAGATTGCTACACTTTTGTGCAGAATAGATTTTTGTGTGAACCCAAACCACACACCACCAGTTTTAACCTACTTTGGTATTTCACCTTGAGATTCTACACTAACTCTCACTGTCCATTTTAGTATTTAGGATGGTGATGGTCAGGCTGATGGTAACAGATGTTTTAAAACCACACAACGACTACTCAAGTGAATAAAAAGAAATGAAAATGTGATTCCAGTAAATGTATCAGAAAATCTCAGTGTGTCCCGTGGCGTTATGTGCTTACCTCTATGACGTGCTTCTTGCTGGACTTGTCTTTGGACGCCCACTCCACAGATCCGCCTCTCAGGTCCACTGTGAACTCCGGCTTGGACTGGTTTCCCCCAAACTTCTGGAACAAAGCCACAGATCACACAACTGCACCAGACAAGATGATCGCCCGTGAGCTGGGACTCTACAGCCAAGCTTTATGTGCACTTTTGGAACAGAAGCAGCAGTCCTCCTCTATTATTAAAGTGGCAAGTGTTCTGTTTCTAGAAGTACTGAAACGTCATATCTGTGAGGTGATATGTTCTCAGCCCATTACACAACTGCACAAATAACTGAATATGATAAAAATGTTGAAGTACTTCTGTAGTAAAAATGCACAAAACCTTTTCTTAGTACAATTTAGTACAAATGTTAGACACACACCTCCGATGTAAAGTTCACAAACTGCTGGGTTAGACAAGACTTATGATCAATATTGATTAGAAATACACACACACACACGTAGCCTCAAACATTTTACACAAGTTCTCCATTACGCATTATTTCCTCTTTTGTAATTTCTCATGGATGTTTTCACAATTTATACATTTTATATGTGTATGGAAAACAAGTAAAAAATGGACACCCTGGAAAGTTTAAATTGTAGCTGATAATGTTAAAGCTGTTAGAGGATATTGCATTATTATTATTGGGGTAGGACTCTTTTTTTTTTTTTTACTTCATCCTAACCTTTTGAGCACCAGGTCCCAAATATGTTCATGTACATATCCCTGTTTTTGTTATTGTTTTTGAATTATGTCTGGCTCAAACTAATAAATAAATGAAAATGAATTGCACTGATCTTGAAACATTTGCTGGATTGTTTAAACTTTACGGATATCAGGCTCTAAATATCGTTTCAGCCGATATCCTGTTTGGACGATAAGAGGATGTAATAGACTGTTCACTGGTTGTAGTCAACACAGAAGCTCACAGAATGTTTAAACTTTAATCCAGATGTGTTATGTTGCTGTTATATATCCATCAAACTACAGAACAACTCTGTATAAATGTTATTTTTGTTCAGAAAATAAATGCTGTTTTGAGTCTCTGCATTGGTGTTGGTTGATATTGGAAGATGATTAAAGCTATGAGTGCAGTAGTCGACTAAAGAAATTCTTGTTGGACTTAAGTCATGTCCTGCCAAACTATTAGTTGATTAAAAAGGGGGTGTGGCTGTATCTTTGTGTATCTGACCTGAACTGCACTTACAAGACTATGCAAAAACTACGATTTACACAGAAAAAGTCCTAAGAAACAATGTATTTATATGAAAAAAAGCAGATTAAACTCATGATGATTCACTTCAATTCTTCAGCTTCATTGCCCGCTTATATGCTTTTATATAAATCCTTATAATCTAAATAAAGTGATTATTCGACTAATACAAACTTTTGTCAATGAAGACTCCATCGATTAATTGACTAAACGACTAAAGTAATTCAGCCCTGAAAGCAGGCACGTTGACAGAAATTTCGGGGCCCAGGGTAAGAAGTGTTACTTGTGCCCTTCTCTAAAATAAATTTATAGGAAGAGAGTTCAATTCTGGACCTGTAAGACCCTGGGGCCCGAGACAACAGACTCTTTGTCCCTTCCTGTCTACTCCCCTGCTTGAAAGCTAGAGCATCAAAATAGTCTCCATTCACGCTTTTGTCACAAACCAGGAAGACGTTTGGAAACGTGCATTGAAAACTTCCGGTGTAGTTCCTGACACTGGACTCACCGAGCGACGGTGATCAAACCCACTGAAGTTAATGTGATCAGTGGTAAAATGAAGACTGCAAACCTCATCAAGTATTCAAACCTCTGTCTCATTTACAAAATCATCCATGGACAATCATCTCCTCCACTCTCCCAGTTTGACAGAATAAGAACCACCACACAGCGACTCACTCGAGGGGCGGCCCGTGGAGACTGCATCGTTCCCCTGAGGAAAAGTGCATTCAGCCAGAGCCTTTTCCATCACAGTCTCTCAGGAATCACCAGCAGCATTAGAGACTTAACTTCATACATTCAATTCAAAAAGCACATTAAGAACTGGCAAATAACTCTTCAAATCTGCGATCATTAGTTTGCCCTCCTCCCTACTTGAGCGTGTGTGTTATTTCTCATTGTCTGCATTGTGATTCTGGTTGTTAGTGTCTGTTTGTATTCTCACTGCTTTTAAATTGAACTGTTTTGCACAATTGCACTTTTTTGTATATTTTTGTTATTGTTGTGTTTCTAGGGTGACCATGTTTACCATCTGTCCAGGGACTACAGATGAAAAATAGCTTCACTGGCTAATTCTGGTACATTTACAAAAATGTTGATTAATGTACACTGTCCCTGTTAAATAAACCAAATAAATAAATATATAAATAAATAAATAAATACGTATGTGCTGTTTGGAATCATCTGGAATTTGGTCACATGTACCAGTGCACTCAGAGTTGTGTGTCAGTGGGGAAATGATGAAAACTGAGATCTGGTTGGAATTGTTGATGAGCCGAACATAACGGAATACTACAATGACATGGAGATGAAGAAAACTGGGACATTTTCTCATTTTTCCTAGACACAGCCTGCCGGAAGTTGTAATCGCATCTTTCCAGACGTCTTCTTGTTTTGTAAGCATGAATAGAGACTATTGGTATCGTAACTGAATCGAGGCATCCCTAGGCAGAGTGGAAGTAATTAAAGCGCTGTAATGATCAGAATGAGTCAGATTAAAGGGACTGGACTTTAAAAACACTGAGGAGCACTCTTGGATCACCACCTGATGACGTCATGAGTTGAGGCAAACCATTTTAGCACAGTTCACTGAGACATATGCGACAATGAAGCAGTAGTTAGGAAGTTAGAGAACTATTGTGCGTCTAGGTGTGATGGCGCACACAGTACAGGTCAGCGTGGAGTTAAAGTTCACACTGACACACGGGTTAAAGTTCAAAGGTCAGGTTCGTGCACAGACGGAGCACGTGCACAGACAGCGCACGTACAGCGGAGGCCACATAGGACACAGCGGGCCGGGGTTTGGCCGACAGCTTCCAGGAGGTGAGGAGGGAGAGGAGGAGCTCGGGGAGAGAGCTGCCACGATAGTACGACTGAGAGGAGGAAGAGGAGGAGGAAGAGGAGGGGAGAAGAGAGGGATGAGAAGAAGCAGAGTGAAAAGAGAGACAGCAACAAAAGAGTGAAGGCAGAGATGCACTAGCAGTCAAAAGTTTAGACACACCCACACCTCATTCTGTCTTTCTGTTTTTAATCTTACTGCTTTCTATGTTTAATCTGCACATCAAATATATGAAGTAAGATATATGGAATTATGTAGCACAAAAAAAAAAGTTAAGTAAATGTATTTAATATTTTTCAGTAAAGGAAGGGGTTGCTACTTTATGGATTTGAATACAGAAAAAAAAAGTAATTAAACTTTTTTTTGCTACATAATTCCATTTATCTTTTAATTCCATTGATCTTTTGATGTGGTCTGCCTGTATATAACATGTAGAAAGTAGTACACAGGTAGAAAAAAAAACACTGAATGAGAGGGTGAGTCCAAACTTTTGAGTGGCAGTGAACATGGGGTTACACACATTGGAAATGAAGATGAAATTAAACTCTGGGCTGTCACTAAGAAATCTGTTCCCAAAATCTAAGATGCACTGAGTAACCTTTCTGAAGAAGAGTCCCCAATTTGGTTGTCTCTATGAATATTGAACATGTTATCATGGTGGACAAGCAAGTGATGTCACCAGGCCAAGTTACAAGTCAGATCTGAGGAGAGGTGGGCCCGCTCATAGTGAGAATGTGTATGTTTAGAAAGTTTCTATTTAACAGTTATTATGCTAGATAGAGAGCCTAACACATTGCTCCTATTTTATGTGTAATGTTATTCAGCAATAATGTTTAGTCAACGTGGCTAACATAATGGCAACTAACTACATATATACTACATATACAGAACACCATCTACCTGATTGAACCATGTGACAGAATAGGTTACAATACATTATAATTCAAAGTATTTTCCCATCACAGTACGTACCCAGCTGGTGGTGCCCCCCTGGCCCTTGGCGAAGAGCAGAGAGGAGCCCTGCAGCACGGTCCAGGACGATGCCCAGTTCTTCCTGCACAGACACAAAACACATGTTTAACCACAGTGAAGGTCTTCATGTGTTTAAGGATGATACATGTACTACTGACTATTAACATGCAGACAATAAGAATGGTCCCCAACCTTTTTCTTGTAAGGACTAGTAATAAATATACTATTTTTTTTCAGGGGCTGGTGGTTTTTGGGGTGCAGGTGTAATAACAGAACAAAATGCACAAACTAGTGACCATAGTCCTCCCCCCCCCCCAAAAAAAAGGCTTAAAAATCACGTTGGTCAAAGGAGTTTTACTAAAGATGCAGAATGCTTTTCTCTGGGGCCCACAGCTCAGTTTTGGGACCCCTGAACGCACTATTTTCTGATCTACAGTTTGTTATAATCTTGTTTCCTCATCACAAACAGACCTTGTGCTGTGTTTTGTTTCATTCATATACGTTTAACACACAAACCCTGCAGCTTTAGGCTGAATTCTTCTCTCAAGCACAAAACACCTTGTGATGTCATGTGGTAATACAGGAAGTAACCCATTTTAAACTCCATATGCCTTCACTTAAAACATATGGATGATTTCCAACCCAGAATTTCCAATCTCAACTGAACTAAACTGCTACATGACATCACAAGGTGGAGTTTTGAAGATGTGGACAGACTAATAATAAAGTTGTACTCAAATTTGTGAATGAAACAAAAACTCAGGTAGTTTTTAATGAGGTAAAAACATGCCTTAATACTATTAGTTCTAGATTTATATTGTAATTTATTTATATTTATATTAAAACCTGAGGCAATAATTCTTTTCTGTGATTCATTTAGTGCACAATCGTCCTTCTTCTTACCTGACTTTCTTTCCGTTCTCTGTGATCTTGGTGACGTTGAGGACTCCACATTTCTCTGAGGGCTGAGGAGGAGAATGGAACCCGGTTAGAAAAGAAAATCCTGAAAAATTATCTATTTTTAAGAATGAACATAGTGAAGCAGCTGTGTAGTAGGATGGATTTGAAATGTTTTTGTAGTTCCCAAAAGCCACCAGCAGAGGGCGCCCTTACTCCATAAACAGTATATGTGAAAGATGCTGTGAGCAGTGTTGAGTAACAGGTGTTTGTGCCATCACCATCACCACTGTTAAATCCTGTTGAGATTTGACACCATTTTGAGCAGATTCTTAACTGTCGGGGGCGGCAGTAGCTCAGCTGGTAGAGCATTCGCCCACTGATCTGAAGGTTGGCGGTTCAATTCCAGCTCTTGACATAAACATCACAGGTTGAGCGGTCAGATCCACTAACCCACAGGTTGGCTGGTGTGATTCCAGCTCCCACAGATGAATGCTGCCGTTGTGTCCTTGGGCAAAACACTTAACCCACCTTGCCCACAGTGTCTGTGTACACTGGTGTGTGAATGTGTGTGTGAATGGGTGAGTGGTGCTTTGAGTGCCTTGAAGGTGGAAAAGCGCTATAGAAAAATGTAACCATTTACCATTTTACCAATTATGATACTACATTGAAAATAAAACACTCTTTTTTATTAATAGATTTAACTTTTCAACACAAAACAATTGTACTTTCTTAATGTTATCATAATGTCTTATCTTTGTTCAGAAAAAGCTCTAAATGATGCTAAAACTGTTCAGGAAAGCTCACCTGTTGTCCTGTTAATGTGATTTTTTTAGTATCAACTGCTGCTCAAATGAGTATGTAGTTTCAATATTAGTTTTAGTATTGAATAGTATCTCCTCACATTATACGATAGAATACACAGAATTGTGAGGAGGCTTGCAGTATTGTAATATAAAAGCCCTTAATGAGGCTTAAATGTATAACAGCTCAGTACAAACAAATACTAAATAATTTGAAAGTGCACAATGTAACTTTTCAGGTGTTTCAGAACCATGAGCATGTGGCTCATGGTTATTGCTTTGCCTAAAATGTCCCACAGCATGGCATTAAAGAACGGCTATGGTGCTTGTGTTATATAGTTACAGTCTATGTAACACGTGGATCATGTTATGTTAGAATTTGCATATTTTCAATCACAATATTGATCTAAAACAATTTGATAAAAGAAACAAGTGCACTGCCTGTCATGACACGTGCTGTGGGCTCCTCCTAAGAATCACTGCACATTACACTAACAAGTAGTGGATTTTGTTTTTATTCATACCAAAATCCCACATGTATCAGCAATTTAGAAAATGAAACTGTAGAATATAGTAGGTGTGACCCTGACAGTGTGAACTGGTGGTGGAGAAAGAAGGGATTGATCAACAATATGGCGTCTTGAAAATAAACACAGATGACTCACACATGAATCACTAAATACAACTGTGACAGGGTCAATGAGAAGGAATCTACGACAACATGGTTAAAAACTCTGAAAACTCGATTTTGCAGAAATGCTCTGGTTTAAAACTTATCTTTTACCATGTAGCTAAGCAGACGGTACTACCAGCTAAGTTACAGGTAAGATCTGTGGAGAGGCGACTCCGCTCACCTTAACAATGCATGATTTGGGGCAATAAAAACACCTGATATGAAGCAAATGCTAAAGAGAGGTTTAATGTCATACCATGGGACATTCTGGGCAAAACAATAACATCTCCATGGAGACAAGAAGGTGAGCAGAAAAGTTACATAGTGCACCTTTTTAAGATAGATTACTGAAGCTTTACAGTCAAGTCTGCTTTTTTAGAGAAGCCAGTTTTGGAAGTAGTGGGTTGTGTTTTTATTCTGGGCCTGCTCTTGGGCGACACTTTCACCTCATAATTTCAATGATTGACAGATGATTTGGCAGTTCCTTTTCACACTAATAGACCTAAGGAGACTGAAATACAGGCTGTTCATCTTTTAAAGACAGGAATTATTTTAAATAGGCTGATTAAAATGATCTAATCAGTCCTCCTTCAGCAGCGATACATGATATTTTACTAGTTACTCCCAATTTGTTGTGGAGATCGTTTCATTTTGGGGGGTTTTCAGTCTTGGTCGCTTGTTTATTTCTAAAGATCTGGCAACCCCCATCAGAAATAGCTTCATTTATTTAAGTTAGCTGTATCCTACTCATACTCAAAAAATGCTAGACTAGTTTATGCAAACTCTGTTATTTGCTTTATTTGCAAAAAAACACTTTAGAACTAGAGGCTTACATTTCATTATCATAGACCTATTAACTGTGAGACTTTTGATATATGAGACTTTATGTTATTATGTTGGACAAAATAGTGACATAAAAACACCAGGCTTGTGTAGAGTGGGTTAATACAAATATTTTAAGACCAAAATGATGGAGAGAAGGCGATTTTTTTGTTGAAAATGAATTGGAGCCGGAGTCGATGAAGCCAGAAGCTTGTCCGTGCTCACTTCCTATTTGGAACAGGTCAGATCTGTCCATTTCTAGGCCTATATACAGTCTATGGTTTCCCCCCAGCAAACAGTCTTGTGGTTGAATAGCGCTAGGGTGACCAGATGTCCCTATTTCCACGGGACAGTCCCAGTTTTGAGCCTGTGTCCCCTGTCCCCACACATTTATACAAAACCACTGATTTGTCAGTTTTATACAAGAAATGTCCCATTTGTCACGAGAGCATCTCACTTATTTTAGCCTCTCTCCATTGGCTCCCAGTGTCTTTTAGAGTCGATTTAAAATTCTTTTATTTACTTTGAAGTGTTTGCTCGGCCTAGTGCTCTCCTACCTCACAGACCTGATCCACCCTTACAGGAGGAGACTGAACATGTTTTTAAATCACTCTTAAAAACACACCTTTTTCACTGGCTTATTGTTCAGTTTCTTATTGCTTTCCATGTTTGTTAATACTTGTCTGTTCTGTGTTGGTGTACAGCACTTTGACCAACTGTAAAGTTTTTAAAAGGCTTTGTAAATAAAGTTGGTCTGGTCCCTATTTTTTACCAATTTGATCCCTGCTAACAGTAAAGAGAGACATATATTGTCATTTGTTTAGGTAAAATACAGAAAAGTTGCTTAAAAATGACCAAAACACAAAGAAAATGTGACTATTCTGACTCACACTAGTCACAAATGCAGACCAGTTTTCCTTAATTGCGCACTTGTTTCACAATTTTATTCTTACCAACCACCACAAACCAGGGATGTTCCAGTTTTTATTTTTTTGAAAATCTGGTCACTTTAGTCTATGGTTTCCCCTCACACACACTCTTGTGGTTGGCGAGCGCAGCAGAAAGGGTGACATTAGCAGGTGTTAGCCATTAGCATGCACAGCCCCATGCAGTTTGTGTGTTCCCGTGTGTTGTGTTAGCGTGTGTTGTGTTAGCGTGTGTTGTGTTCGCGTGTGTTGTGTTAGCGTGTGTTGTGTTCGCGTGTGTTGTGTTAGTGTGTGTTGTGTTAGTGTGTGTTGTGTTCGTGTGTTGTGTTGTGTGTGTTGTGTTGTGTGTGTTGTGTGTTCGTGTGTGTTGTGTTGTGTGTTGTGTTAGCGTGTGTTTTGTGTGTTGTGTTAGCGTGTGTTGTGTTGTGTGTTGTGTTAGTGTGTGTTGTGTTAGTGTGTGTTGTGTTCGCGTGTGTTGTGTTCGTGTGTGTTGTGTTAGTGTGTGTTGTGTTAGTGTGTGTGTGTGTTGTGTGTGTTGTGTTTCGTGTGTGTTGTGTTCGTGTGTGTTGTGTTGTGTGTTGTGTTGTGTGTGTTTGTGTCGTGTGTGTTTGTGTTGTGTGTGTTGTGTTCGTGTGTGTTGTGTTCGTGTGTGTTGTGTTAGTGTGTGTTGTGTTCGTGTGTGTTGTGTTCGTGTGTGTTGTGTTAGTGTGTGTTGTGTTCGTGTGTGTTGTGTTCGTGTGTGTTGTGTTAGTGTGTGTTGTGTTAGTGTGTGTTGTGTTAGCGTGCAGGTGGGTGCAGACAGTGGGTGCAGGTGATACTAACAGTGTTTGGGTGTTTGGGAGACGACGGGCACGAGTCAGAGTCCGGGGAGCTCTGCTTGGGCCCGGCCGGAGCGTTCTCCTGTCGACAACAACCACACAGTTAGCATGCTAAGCTAACTGCTAGACGGGCTCACTGCTACAAAGAAATGATTAAAGGTCCTATATTACACAAAACAGACTCATGTGAACGTTTAGCCATGTTGGAATGTTTTTATTCAGTAAAAACACACACAGACTTGTGTTGTTTCATTCACACATGTTTGAGTAACTGGTTTGTTAGTCTGGCTACGTCTCCAAACTCAAAATGCTCTGTTCCACCTTGTGATGTCATCAAGTGGTAGGTAGTTTTAAGGTTAAGAGCATTTTTTTTTTTTTTTTTTTTTTTATTGACTCGAGAATAACAAGTTGTTGCCTTATACAAGAAATGTCCCAGGTGCAGTGTTGGGGAGTAACAGATTACATGTACCAGAGTTACATAATCAGAGTACAAATTATGAGTAATTGTATTCGGTTACAGTTACTGTTTAAGTGAGTGGTAATTGGATTACAGTTACTTGGTTGAAATAAATGGATTACACAGAGGGATTTTCCTGTTTTCACATTTTGGGCTAAAGCTCTTCTTTTTTTTTTTTTTTTCCTCAGTAATTCCACTCATTGCCAGACACTAAACCAGGTCTAAAACCAAAACCAGGTCTAAACCAGGTCTAAAACCAGGTCTAAACCAGGTCTAAACCAGGTCTAAAACCAGGTCTAAAACCAGGTCTAAAACCAGGTCTAAACCAGGTCTAAACCAGGACTAAAACAAGGTCTAAACTATGTCTCAAACAGGATTTAACAGGACTAAATCATGCTGCGTGGACTGTCTCCTCCTCTTCTATCAATAATATTTTTAATTTGGTTTAGTAAAGTCTGGGCTTTTCATTGTCTTTTAGCAGACAAAACATCTTATGTTACAATATCCTTGTCTTTACTACTCTACAGCAAATCAAGTAATCCAAAGTATTCAGATTATGTTATTCAGTTTAAGTAATTGAATGGATTACGTTACAAACTACATTTTGGGGTATGTAATCTGTAATCTGTAGGGGAATACATTTTAAAAGTAACCCTCCCAACACTGCCCAGGTGTCCCTATTTTTGTCCAATCTGATCCCTGCCAGTAGTAAACAGAGACATACATTGTCATTTGTTTAGGTAAAACACAGAAGAGCTGCTTAAAAATGACTAAAACAGAAAGAAAACGTGACTATACTGACTCACATGTTTGTTATGAATGGGCCGAATGCAGAACAATTTTCCTTAATTACACACTCGTTTCACAATTTTATTACCAACTGCTCCCAGTTTTTTTTTTTTTTTTTAAATCTGGTCACCCTAGGCTGAAATGATTCTAGTGTGTGGAGTTTAAAAACAAAGGGCCACACTTCCTGTATTACTTGATGACCAGTGACATATGGTGGAACAGAGTGTTTTCAGTTTGACAGAAGAACACAGCCTAAATAAGCAAGATTTGTGTGAATGAAACAAAAAAAACCTGGTATGTTTGTGATGAGGAAACAACATTATAACATGGACCAAAAGTGTGCGTAATATAGGCCCTTTCAGATTGTTAGAATAATTGCATATATTAAACGTGTAACATGCAGATACAGGCAGGGTTAGTGAAATAGGTTAAAAAAACAGTCATTAAGAGAAAGTTACTGACAAAGTTAAAGACAAAATAAGGGTTAAAATCTAAAGAGCATTCATGATTCTGTTAATATTAGTGTTGTCATGATACTAACATTTCAAAATCGATTTCAGTAATAACGAATGGACTGGATACCAATTCTGATACTACGTGGTCCAGGTAGGTTCTTAGTGTCCATGTGTGTATACTAGTCTATGTGCTCTTCTACTTGTTCTGATACAGCTCAGCATGATTCTAAAGACATTCAGGAAACTTTCATTTCTGTGCTGTGAAAGGGTCTAGTTTCGATACTAGTTTTAGTATCGATGAGTATCTGATTTTTGATACTTTTGACGACTCTTGTTAAAATTACACTTTTCTTTAACAAAATCAGGTTAGTTTGAAAAGTTACATTCTTTCCAAATCACAGATAAACAAACAGCTCTAGTTAACTCATTAATTAGACCCTTGAACTTTCCTCACCCTTTTAGCCAATTAAAAACAGTCACATAAGCTCGGCTAAATACTTTCAGATCCAACTTCTAACCTGGCTGCATAGGCTATGTGAACTACACGTGCTCTTTTGCACTGGTCGGTCCTCTAACTATTCTGTGATAGTGTTTTCTGTTAATTAAAATAACTGTGGTGGCCTTATAGTCAATACTTCACCACCTTAACAAATGATGCTTTCTGATTTTACTATACAGACTGTTGACAACATGCTTTAAAAACTAAATAAATTGCAAAAAAAAAAATAATAATAAAATAATAATAAAAAAAAATAATAATAATAAAAAATAAAAAACAGAACAAAACAAAATAGCCTCACCCACGGCATCAGAGTTTCTACAGAAATCTGAAGGAAACAGCACTAGAAATAGTTTTACCCTGTATATTTTTGTAATATTTTTAGAGAACTGTCTTGTTTGAGGACTGAAACTCTAACCTACAACAGATCATTTAAAACAAGGGCTTTACATCTACAAATCAATAGAACATGTTGCCCAAGCCCTTGTTAGTTTCTCACTGATTTGAGTTGTTCTAAAATGGACGCTTTTGATTTGGTAGTCTACCTACAACAAATCAACACAGATCATGTTCTATGTGAAGCCACAGGAGGCACTGGCAGTACAAACTTTGTCAGAGTACAGAGACAGGCGGAATCTCTTCTTGTGAGGCGCAGAAGCAAAACGAAACACTTTGAATGAGAACTGTAAGGAAAGAACCAGTTAACCTCAAACCCGCCGCTCCACTGTTCTCCAACGCTTCAAACCAAGACAGACTAAGCATGAACTAAACACAAAAGCAGAGTAAAACCTGGACTTCACTAGATTTAACCAGAATTCGACCAAACAAAGGACTAAAAATTGTTGTCAAGTCAAGTAAGCCTAGACCCGGGTTAAACATGCTGGTCTAGAAAGGTCTAAACCAAGACTACACCCAAAGGTTAAAGAACAGGGTGTCCCAAATAATTTACATTATTTTGCAGGCCAATAATTTTGGAAATTCTAGTTGAAATAACCTCAAATTTCAGATTAAAGAGTATATATAAACAGATAAAGATTTTATATTTAATGTTTTATTTTTGTTCTGCTTTCAGGGTAAATCATGCTGTTCACTCCCAATGAGAAATCATTTTGCATCTTGGAATCTGCTCGCACACAGTCACCCAAGACTGTGCAGCGTTCAGTGCAACATTTGGAAAAACTTCACCAACTGGCAAACAAATTTGGACTTGGTACCAAAAATGAAAAGAGGAAGACTGCTTATGCAGGGCTAAAGGATCTGGTACCATCATTAACATCAGAAGAGAAGGTCAAGCAAGTTCGTGAAAAACGCTTGTGAAGCCCAGAGAAGTCCGTAAGGAGAAGTTTGGAAACCCAGATTCCTCAAATGATGGTTTGGCATAACCAGATCCTTTCGAAACAGAACAGACTTAAAACATTAAATATAAAATCTGTTTCTGAACATTCTGTAAAAATTCAAGGTTATTTCAACAAGAATTACCAACATTATTGGCCTGCGAAATGATGTCATTTTCTGGGACACCCTGTACAATGAAGCCAATAGAAGGACTACCAGCAGCAATGATCACAATTTAAGAACCACTGATGTATATACTAAAAAATGTAATGCAAAAAATGTAATAATCAATACAGCTCAATGGAGTTCCACAGTCCTGCGCACTTCCAAGTCCACTTTGGTTCTGGAGGTAAATTTTCCATTCAGTTTTCCCATAGACTTTTTGAAAAATTCAAATATTAAAAGGCATCATAAAGGCTAACCAGTTACGTGCTGCTAACTTTTTTTTTTTTTTTTCGGACAGTCTATGGAGAGAAATTGAATGGGAAATGTACTTCTGGAACTATGGGGGAACGGTCACAGATGAGCTCCACAGCTAGCATTATTTAGCATTATCTTTTAGCATCCCAAAGTTGATTTGTAAATAAGATAATGTATCTAGCATATATGTTTGGATTTTTTTTTCTCTTCCCTCACTTCAGTGTTTAGCATTCAGGTCAGGGTATCTGTGGTCCTACCTTGTCATTGAGGTCCAGTACATAGGTGCTGTGTCTCCACTTGGTCAGAACTATGGGCTCCTGCTGCTTCCTCTCCAGACTACGGCTTTTGGGCAGCTCCCCCGACTGAGGTGAGATGTTATACTGAAAAGAAGTTGAGTAAAAATACATTAATAAACACACTTACAATTCTATTCAGAAGCAGTCTCCTATACCTCTCCTTTGACAGTCCACAGCTGCATGGGCCCGGGAGGGAGTATCTCACCTCCAGTGCCTCCTACAGTGGTGCTCTGAATGTCCAACGTCATTCTGGAGGCACTGGGACCTTTGTCTGACCTAATGACATTCACCTCAAAGCCTCAGATTAGGAGGCAAAGAGACAAAAATAGATGGCTACTAATGCTTTATCCCATTAATTACGTAAACAAGTATGCTAGCATTAGCTTTAGAGCCACACGCCAAAGGTGTGCCACTGGATCCATTCACAAACACTGGACAAATGTAGGTCAAATGATAACCACAGCTTACAAGTTTTAGGTCAGGCTCAGTATTTATTATGTAATGATGATTTCAAAGTATCACAAGGGTCAGTTCTGGCCCCATTCGTCTTTACAATAAATCTCCAATGGAATAGTATAAAATAATAAAAGTTGCTATTTCCACAGGAGAAAAACAAATATCCATGGAGTCTTATTCTGTATAAAACCTGCTAACTCTAGTTTAGACCAGTGTTGTCACAATACTAAAATTTCAAAATCAATTTCAATACTGTATTTTCCAGGCTATTAGGTGCTCTGGATTATAAGATGCACCGTCATTAAATGGTTTATTTTTGAACTTTTTTCACAAATAAACCACACCGGACTTTAAAGGAAACCCAACAGTGTGATGGGTGAGTGGTTTTGTTTGTTTGTGGCGTTCACGGTGACTCTGGGCTTTGTTCAGTTGTGGCTTGTAGGGAGGTGCTGTCTGGGACCAAAGGATTGTCGCGTGTTCACAGTGACTCAGTTGTTCAGTTGTGTCTAGAAGTGGCACATTTCTCTCGCTTTTTCGGTTCGTTCCTCCGTTCCGTTCCTCGTCGGCGTGGAGTGATGATTGTGTCTGTGGGTGTTTTTGGCTGTGCGGTCACTGTCTCCTCCGTGTGTGTTTGCGAGCACTGTGGGTGGTGCGGCTTTGTAGTTTACTGAAGTCGTGCTGGGACACCTGAGTGGATTCGTGTATAGGGCGCTCTGGATTGTGGGGCGTGCAATCATTTTTTTAATGGGGTTGGAGGTTGAAGAGCGCGTCTAATAGCCCAGAAAATTCAGTACTAAGAAATATATTCAATACTCAGTACTCAATGGGATACTACATTGATATTTAGACAACACAATGTCAACAAAACATTGCAGTACTTTCTTTTATATTGCCATGTTGAACTTATATCTGTATAATACATAGGTTCCATAGTGGTCCATGGGCGTATACTCTTCTATGTGCTCTTATAGTTCTTCTGATGTAGCTCGATTAGTATCTGATTTTATATACTTTTGACCTCTACAAAGTTCTAAAATACGTGTTACTTTTGTATTCATTTAGCAAATAACATTACCTAAATGTGATGAAAATGTGTTGAGGATTGAGTTTTAAAACTTAGAGCTCAACTGAGTATAGTGAGAGTTTAGAAAGTGCTATTAAAAACAACATTAATAACTGCTGTTACTATTTCAGTCGCAGTAGGAGTATAAGTATTACTCACCTTGGGCAGCTCCCACTCGGACCTGGAGCCGTCTGCGCTGTAGTAATATGGCCGCCCCTGCTCGTCCACATGTTTGATCCACTGTGAAACAAAACCAGTCAGTATTCTATAAGTGGAACTGCAGCTGTTATATAAAGCTCTGTTTATGGTGATGTGAAATCCTGACCTTCTCCTGGGTGTACTCCGACACGTAGGTAGTGTGGCCGTGCTCGTCCAGCTCCTCAGACCAGCCTCTAGGGGGCGACCCGTACTGGCTGTCTGACTGACTGGAGTGGGTGCTGTTACAGTTCTCTTCAGAGGAGAGTGGCTGTGGAGACACATGAGGGGTCCTTTTGAGACCTTGTGATGTCATGAAGCAGTAATTTTCAGGTCAACAGTCATTTTTTGTAGAAATAAATGTGTGAAAAAAACAAAACACAACTCCAGGTCTGTTTGTGATGAGAAAACTACATTATAACATAGATCAATATGGACCTTTAAGACCTGTTGTCTGTTGAATAATTTCACACAGGTTTTCCCTAGAATAGACTAAACTCAGCTGTTAATAAGAGACAGGGTTCAGGTGACATCCTCTTGTATTTGTCAGTGGAGCAGATCAAATGTTTGGAATAAACAGAAGACCATCAGTCACTATAATAAAATTGTCCTGCCCCAAAATAACATTGAGTGTACTGAGAAAAACAAAACAAAAAAATAAACTTCACAGTACACAGTATACTTTCCAAAAATACCAATATATATTCTGACTTCAAGTCATTAAAGCTACCATTTATAACAGGAATGTTAAACATATGGCCCGGGGGCCGGATCCGGCCCTCCAAGACCTTTAATCTGGCCCTCAGCTGATTTTCTACTAAAATATTTTAATTATATTTTCTATTACGATATTGTTAATTTTCTGTGGTGCTGAGTATAGCAGCGTCTCCAGTGTCTCTGTACGTGGCCCCTCCCACCAGAGCAGCACAAATGAAGACTTGTCTCTTTCCAAACGCTCTTAAAGGACGATCGTTTTGACTGTTGACCGTGACACCCTCATCAGAAAAATGTCCAACATGAGAAAAGTGGAGCCGAGTGCAGGATTTTACAACAAAAATTGACTTATTCCTATTTACATACAAGTTCATGTTAAAACATTGTGTTGAAATTGCATTTTTCTTAATGTTTCAGATTGTTCATAATATTATAATATTTTGTAAAAGAAAGAGTTCATCAATTAAAAAATGATTTCTGTAATAGATTTGCATTTCTCTGCACAAATATTTGAACTTATTGTTATTTTTGGGGTTTATAAACCATGAATTTTCTGATCCGGCCTCTTTGGGATCAAAGTAGGTTGGATATGGCCCCCGGACCAAAATGAGTTTGACACCCCTGATCTATAATTAGACTTGCATTTTCACATATCACCACTGGATGCTATCTATGTTACTTCTGTCTGACAGTGTGCCAGGGCACAGGTGAGTCTGAACAAAGGCCAGGTGAGGTGCCAGGTGAGGGGGCAGGTGACAAATCAAATGAACTTAACAGATGGTAGCTTTAATGAACTTAACAGTTGGTCGTTTAAATTGTGGATCCTGGTTTTGTTGTATGAATGGAACAATGGAACAATGGTGTGTGAAGCTGTGTTTGCCTTACTGCGCTGGAGCCACAAAACAAAAAGGTCTTGTAAACCCTGTTAGCCTAGAACCGTGTGAAAGTGTCCTCGATAACCTTCCAACAGACTTTGATTCTGTCATATTGATACTTTGCAGTGACATCATGCTAGGGGTGTTCTACATGTATGTCACACATTAGCAAACAGAGCCGAAAAAGTTTTAAGATGGTCTGAAAACTGATGTAAACAGCACAATTTCAGGAGCCTGAGCGTTCATCATCCTGTTTAGGAGTTTGATTTTCAACCAAAATGTGAGAGTCACTTAAAGCGCAAAGTATAATTTGTAACACATTTCTGTAAAATATCCTGACCTCAGTCTCCACAGGGCCCTGGTTGTCCCTTCTCAGGCTGTCCCCTCTGTGGCTGTCCCCCTTCAGGCTGTCCCCTCTGTGGCCGTCCCTCTTCAGGCTGTCCCCTCTGTGGCCGTCCCCCTTCATGCTGCTGGTGCTGGCCGTGTCCCTGGTGCGGGGGGGCTTCCACGTCCTCTCTCCAGTGGCTCTGTTGTAGTAGAAGTGTCTCCCGCTGGTGTCCCTGTGCGTCTCCCAGTCTCCGTGCAGGTGCAGGGGGGAGCCCGAGGGCACTGGGGGCAGGTTGGACTGGGAGATCTTCAGCTCCTGGAGGTTAGTGTAGACCGGGGAGTCGGAGCGGCCGGGGCCCGTGGGGGAGCTGCTCTGTGGGGACAAAATACAACAGGGTCAGACAACACAAGTGAATACACAATTATTTCTTTAACAAACATTACATGATACTACAAGGACCCCAGAGCATCGGCAGTGAGACCTTATGTGGGGCCAGGTCATACATCATCCTTTATTTGTCTCCTCATGTAAAGCATCTGTGAGAATCTTGAAAAGCGCTACACAAGTGTTATGTGTTATTATTATTTTTATTATCATCACATCATCACATGGGATGTCATGATATCAGATCCTGGATCAATACCAGATTTTTTGATAGCAGTGCAGGTGGATGCTTACTAAAATCATAAATCTATCAAGATGAATGGATTTTTTTCTGTAGTCTGGAATATTATATCCCTCCTCAGCCAAATAAGAGTCAGGTTTGTGGAGATGCAAGCCCACTCACAGTATGGGCTTTTATTCTTCAGTGCAATAAACACAACCAAAATGAAAAGAAAAATGCTTTTTTAGTCTATTTTTGGCCAAAAACGTACATACTGTGATTACAGTGAATTAAATGAATGACTTAAACTTACTTCACCTTGGATTTGACAGTTTTGAGTCTGTACTAGGGCCCGACTGGTATGGATTTTGTTGCGGCCAATATGATACCGATATAATGTGAGTTGGAGGTGCTGATAGTCGATATAATCGCCGATATATTTAGTGATGTAAAAATTCACTGTAAATCTTGATTTGTTTAAAAAACTTAGGTTTGGCTCTGGTGGATTTTAAATTGGATTTATTTAGGCAACATTTATGTGTTATTCAACTCTTCAGGTTGTTTTGTTGCAAGCAGGACTAAACCAGAACTAAACCAGGTCTGAACCAGGTCTAAACCAGGAGTGAAACAGATCTAAAACATGTGTAAAACAGGCCTACACCAGAACTGAACCAGGACTAAGTGTCGGGACTTGGTCTCTATCTCTCTCTGTCTCTCGAGCCCAAGATTAGTCCTGGTTTATTTATTTTATGCTGAACTACAGCCAGACATGCACATTTTTCTATCCTATACACATGCAGATTTCGTTTTCAGCCGTTGCCGCTGTCAAACTCCCAAAAGTCTGCAAACGACGTGAAGAGAAAAAGTGAAAGAGAAAGAGAAAACACGGCTCCCAATAAGGATCAGGCTCCGGTCGTTCGCTTCAAAGAGCCGGATCTAAGAGCCGTTTCGTTCACGACCGACCCATCGCTGCTAGCTAATAAAGAAACTAGTGCTGTTAGCCTTTAGCCGTAAATGCTGCGCGCCGCGATAATTAATTATATGCGCAAATGTCATAATTCACACGTCTATTCACAGCTTATTTACATATCAGTGCAGGTCCAGTAACAAATATACGGCCAATACGGTTGTATGTTTTACAATTTTACACTAGACCAATAGAAAACAGTCTGTTTATGTGTGAGAGCTACAGCAGCTAATCACTAGCCTAAACTAGCTTCAAAGTTGACATATTTCCAACACTCACCGCTCACACAGGCTCGTCCCGCATCACAAGTCTGCACTAATAAAAGTCCTTTTAATCAAGACTCAAACCAATGGTCCGTAAAAAGAAAATAATCTCAGTGTTGCACACAGGATCTGTGTCTGCAGGTGTAAACACACACACGTGAGTGTCGTGACTCTGTGATGTGTTCAGGGACAGTACGGACACACACTGACAAATGACTCCACAGATAAATACTAACGTGGAGCCACATATTAAGACATTTATCTGTAAATTGGATTAAATGAACATAATGTAAAGAGTCTAAGCTTTATAATGAGGTATAACATGGCCATGCAAAATATCGGCCCCTATCAGCAAACATATCGGCCGATAGCCGATAAGTTTCCAGGTACCCATATCTTCCGATAATATCGGCCAACTGATGTATCGGTCAGGCCCTAGTCTGTACACCTCTTTTTGAGAGACTAACAGTCACAAACTTCCAAAGCTTTTATGTTCTCCTGTGGTTATTGAAATAAGAGACAATGAAATATGAAAATCCTAATTCATTATTAACAACATTACACGTGTCTAATGATGAGCAGACGCAAAGGGACGGGCATGGAAATCCCTCATTAGAAAGCCTGGTCACGCTGCTGCAGTCCAGTGTGTGTGTGTGCGTGTGTGTGTACGTGTGAGCATAAGGTGTGTGTGTGAGAGAGTGTGTGTGTGTGGGGGGGTGAGTGTGTGAGTGCGTGCGTGCGTGAGAGACAGAGCTGTGTGGTGCAGGGAGGTTGTGTTCATAAATCACACCTCTGCAGGAGCAACGAGGAGAGTCAGTGAGGCGTGAACCTGGAGGGAAGGAGGGAGCGAGGGAAAGAGAAAGAAGAGAGAGGGAGATGGTACACGTGCAGTGCAGTCTAGTCTACAGACGTGTGTAATCAGAGTCAGACACTCACATTCTCTGCATATTTTATCAATATGTGCACCAGAGTTAGAACGACAATATGACGAACGCTTGGATACTACTACTACTACTACTACTACTACTACTACTACTACTACTACTACTACTACTACTACTACTACTACTACTACTACTACTACTACTACTACTACTACTACTACTACTACTACTACCCACTACTCTGAGTACTCCTACACCTACTCCAACACCAACACTTACTACTACTACAATTACTAATAACATGCCACCTATCTACTACCTACTACCATTTAGCACTTCTTACTACTACAGTGCTCAGCATAAATGAGTACACCCCCTTTGAAAAGTAACATTTTATACAATATGTCAATGTATAGATTAAATTTAATACAACATCTGCTGAATTTAGGACAAAAAAACTAAGACTAATAATATCGTGTACTTCCTGTCACTTCCTTTTTTCTGTGTATTCCAGAAAAAAATGTGTTGCTCTTGAGGTCAAAATAACTCTGGGTGCTGTCTATATCTAATCATAAAACGTTTTGTTATCCAGGAAGTGTGTGTTAACATGCTAGTTGTTATTTGTTAGCTTTACAGTCACAGAAAAAAACTCCACACTGTTCTCTCTCTCTTGTGAAAAGTGCTTTTAAAGTCATCATGGTGAATCATTCGGATGTTCTGAAAACACAGTGAGTCAGTGTTTTCTGTTTGAGAGAAAAACAAAATAGAATCATATGAGCCCTTTAAGACCCACAGCTTCAACTGGAGTTTAAATTAAAAAGACAAATTGCCTGACTATTGTGACACAGTTAACCTTTCAGTCTCTTGCAGGGGAGAACGAGTGGCTGAATTACGCAGGGCTGTTGTCATGACGACTGTTTATTGTTGTAGGCTTGTCTGAAAATGTTCCATATAAAAATAGAGAAGAGAACATAAAGAGGAAGGAAGGGCCGATGAAGAAACCACCAGTGATGCAAATACTGCAGCAAAAGGCGCCAAAATCATTCAGTAGTCCCAGTCAAAAATATTACTATACAACTGACATATTTTTGTGATATATTTTTAAAAACCAAGATTCAGATCACAGTACACACTGTAATTCCAACTCTAAACTAATGGACATGGACTTCAGAAAATGTTTGTAAAGATTTAAACTGCAGGGTTAGGAGCTTTTACAGAATAAAACCCCATGGAGACTCTCAAAAAAACAAAACAACAACAACAAAACAAAAAACATGATACCAAAAATACTAAAAACTACAGCATTGCAATGAACGAGCAACAATACAGACACAATATCACATCATTTGGACTAAAGTGGATGGTCCTGATCCAGCGGTGAAACAGAACAAAGTACAAGTAGTAAAGGACTGTACTTGAGTAAAACATTGAGGTATCTGTACTTTACTTGATTACATTTTAAAGTGGATAATTTTTACTTTTACTCTACTTCATTTGAGAGAAAGTATGTACTTTTTACTCCGCTTCATTTCTGAACTGGACTGAAAGTAAAAGTATTTATTTTTGGGTGAGACCTGCTGAAAAGGCTGAGGGGTTTATTTTTCACATGTTTGAGCAGCGCAAATATACAAATAAAAAGGAAATCAAATAGACAGGGGGAAAAACATAGGCTCAGTCCAAAATTCAGCACACATCTGTCTCAAAATCACTACATTTGAAGCTTTAATACTCAAAACAACCTGAAAATACTTTTACTTTTTACTCTTTGAGTATATTTTAAATGGATACTTTTACTTAAGTAAATTTTTTCCCGTGACACTTTTACTTGATTATTTCATTGCTCCAGTATCCAAAACAAAATGGAGTACTTTTTTCACCACTGTCCAGATCTAAAACTGAAGAAATATAAAACCATATTAGTATAAAATAAAGTATTGGGTCTTTAGTACTACTTCATAATAACTACACTTAAATTAGCCTTAATAAAGCATGAACTAAGATTTAACTCATAAAGAACAAAGTGCATTAAGAGTTTATTAAATAAGGGGTATGCAAAATTGAGTTTTTGTGCCTGAAGATGTTTTAGATGTCATCCATGCATGTTTGAGTAATTTAGTGATCTCTCCCAGGCCCTATTCAAACCCTCTTTACTAGCTGTAAGATTGTGTCCAATGCTCAACCAATAAATATACAAAAACATTATATGAAACAATCCACTACAATAGACAAAGCTGATGTGAAGTGCAGCGGTTTCAATAGAGGAACACATGATTTTGATAGCGCTCTGAAGGGGAAGTGACAGCACAGGGAGCAAAGGGAGGGGGGACTCAAAAACGAAAGAGAAATAATGTAATACATTGTTTTGGGTGTAAACTGGCTTTTTCAAATTGGCATTTTCCAGATAATAAAAGGTAAGCTGGTGATTTCAGCGTGTTGTGTGTTCACAGTTCTGCCCCACAGAAGGAAAACAGTTGCTCTTTAATATTTGATTCCAGCCCTAAACTGCAGCTATTCAGGTCCATTAAAAACACTAAAAGCTGCAGTGAAAGTAGAGCAGGCCCTCTGTGTCAACATGGCCACACTTCAAAAATGTTTTCACAAACTTGGCAGCGCCCGAAGGTCACCACACAAAACGCCAGGCCACTGCGTTACCA